AGAGAGAGAGAGAGAGAGAGAGAGAGAGAGAGAGAGAGATGGCCAATACGAATTCCTCTCTGTACCTTTTCGTTGGTGCTGGATGGGGCAAGTAATTACCTTCTTTATACAGAGAAGCCCATTGAGTGAGGTGGGAACATAAACTTTCCAAAGATTGGTACAGTTCATAAAGATTTTCCAGGGTTATGATCATGTAATGAGTCTCTTCCACAATATCTCTGTTGAGCATTTTTTTACCGATTCTGTACTTACATACTACTAGAAACAAGAAACTAACAGATAAACAAGACCACTCAATTCTCAGATGCAAATTTTCCTTCCCTGAAACTTCTGTCCTTTAGTTCTTACTCTGCTTTTATAAAACTTTCAAAGCCTTTTCCCACAGACAGTCTCTAAAGCATTCAAAAACACATTTCACCATTCTGTTCGGTCTTCACAGGGGGAAGACCCTGCCTTACAGTCTAATTTTATTTTCCTTTTTTGGTACCTGGAATCAAATACAGGGCCTCACACTTGCCAGGCAGGAGCTTCACTGCTGAGCTACATCCCCAGCCCTTTACAGTCTAATTTTGAGTCCCCTCCCTATCCTGGTTACCATCCTCCTCTGGGTTCTCTTTCCCTTCTATCTTTTTAAAACTACAAAGGTAGGATCCAACGAGTCTTTATGTAATGTGCATAGGCCAGGCACTCTGTTGGCTCTGGGGATAAAGTCCACCTAAAGAAAACAATGACTCCTCTGGATGTCATCATGTTAATGTCACATTGTCAAGCTATTGGCCAAGGACAGAAGTTCGGCAGACCATAATCTCACAGGGATCTTCATGGGGGAAAAAATGGCTTTTTCTTACCATCATTTTTAAGTTTACTGCCAACTACCAGCAAAAACTTTTACAACTATAATTTGCATCATATAGCGCCAACTCCTAAACTTATGTTTTTCATTTCTAATTATATTTTCTCTTTTCTCATCTCCTCCCCCATTTCTTATATATAAAGATGTTTTCCCTATGCAGAGCGCTGAAACTAATACTACTAGAGACAATGCCATTTTGTTGCTTAATTGTATTTCGGATCAGATGTGTCTGTGTACAGAGTCAAAAAGCGAGCAAAACCATCACTTCTTTACACACTGTTCCCCTTCAGGAGGACTTCTGTCCCCTTCACCCCTCCTATGTGTCTTTCACCTGATCTCATGACATTTTCAAACCTGTGTTCACCTCATCCATTTCCTACAGTGACCTGTAACATGTGTTTCCTGCTAGAGCGACAGTTGTAAACAACTCCTGCTAGATTCAGGAGCAACTCAGAGAAAAACCGGAAAATGCCCTCTCTAATAACTCCTGAAAGCAAAGATCCCAACCCAGAGCTGGACACACCCTGTGATTTCTGGCTCAAGCCTCAGACCCACAATCCCTCTACTGGGCTGTGAGAGCCACTGCATTTTATTTTAGAAAGAATTAAACTTTTGAATAATTACAAGAGTGTGAGCAGACAAGAATCGAAAACTTGTATTTCACAAAAGACAAAAGTGACCCTAGAATCAGAAGTCCTGGAGGTGAAAATCATCTTGAAGGCCACGTAAGTCCCACCTCATTATTCAGTTAAAAGAACTGGGACCCAGAGAGAATGTGTTCAGACCTGAGGAGAGATAGGAACCCAGGGCTCCTTACTTGGGACAAACCTCTCTTTTACGACGCATCATTTGCCCTTACACCATCCCCCCTCCTTTAGCCAGTATTACAGACCTAGGGGTGCCAGGCAACAAACCAATGTAGAAAGTATATCCTGGAAACAGAGTCAGACAAACAAATGCCATCTGGGTGCTCAGGAATCTAGCCATTTGCTGGCTCCTCCTTTTAGCACTGGTTACAAGAGGAATGGCTCTGGAGGGATAATATGTTCCTATTTTTCCCTCTAATCCAGGACACCTGTCCCTTCTTTGGGGAATGTATAATACTTAGGGCTTCTTCTCAGCATGTGCCCAGCCACCTGTTGCTCATGCCTTTCCAAACTGGCCTCTCTGGGTTGGGGCCAGCCAACTGGACCCCCACCCACCATAATGTGTGGGCAGTAACCACACAAGTATACTGAATTTGAAGAGTCTGGAGTCTCTGCGGAATTAGCAGGTCAAGACAGTGCTCTCGAGCTGAATATACACGGCAGCATGTCTTCCCTTTAAAAGAGATATCTCTGGTAACTCGTAAGTCTTTAAAGAGAAAAGGAGTCTAGAGTTCATCAGCCCTTCGCTTTCTTTCACTCATACTGCCATTCATTCATTCAACAAATATCCGTTCATCACCTGCTATGTCATTCACTGCCAATCGTCCGCTCCTCTTCTCACTCCCCAAACTTGTATGGACCTCCGCTAAGAGCAAAGTGCCGTGCTGGAAGCTGTGGGAGATAAAACAATGAATAAAGCTCCATTCCAGCCCGGAAGGAGCTCTTGACTTGGTGGGGGTGGTAAATCCACACGCTGCTGTGACTTAAGGCTGTCTGTGCGAAGAGAAATACAAAGAACTATGGAACACAGAGAAGAAGGAAGTCACTCTCAACTGGCAGGTAAGAAAGTTGGCAAGAGGATGTTTGTGAGACCTGAGCCTTAAGAAGCAGGTAGGGTTTGGTTATAATGAAGAAGTATGTGATGTTCAAATTGGTGTCCGGTGCCTAGGGAAAGAGGCCAGCAAAGATCTGAGAAAACTGAGGGGTTCTCTTGGCTGACAGCGGCTATGTGGGACACAATGGGCTACCCAGGGAGTAAACTGAGGTTGAAGATGGGGATGAATACTAGTAGGTATGAGAGGTCTGAATCTTTGTTATTTCCTTGGCCCCTTAGGTTCTGAGGTTTGGCACCCCATCTGCAAACAGGCAGCCCGAGCAGAAAAGAAATTAAAGGTAAGCAAGCCAGTAACGACCCCAGGCCAGTAGTCCTATGTGTCCACTTTTGCCACAGGTTGGAGGAGCTGTACTTTTAGCGTAGTCAGTATTCCTTAGAGTTCCCACTCGGAAATGTCTGCCGTCCTTTGGGATATCCTTAATGTGAACACCTGGCTCATAGGGTTTGAGGGGATTAAGACATTGGATATAAAAAACATTTGAAAATGGTAGAGCACTATATTCATGTGAGTTTTTAACTGTGTCTATATTTGGCAAGGTTATGACCTTACTGGTGCTAACCAAGATGGTGGCTTCTCTGAGATGCTCATGTCATGATTTTCCCCCAACCTACGGTCATTTATAAATAATTATAGTTATATTGTTACAGTAAATGACATTTTACAAACCATCTTTATAGCTGCTTTAGTCCCTTAAAGTAGATGAGGCAAGTCTTACTTCCACCTTGCCTGTGAGAAAACCAGGACTAAAGAGAGTGGTGATTTGTCCACAGCAACACAGCCAGACAGAAGCACTTCTTGTGTCCCCAGGCATACACCAGGCCAGCTGGGGCCCTGGTCCTTCTAAATTACTGTGCTCTCACAAATACCAGGAAGGCCTGTGCCTCTGGGTTCCTGAGACTGCTGGGCAAGAATGGAGTGGCCCAGGCTGCAGAGAGGGACGGAACTCCCAGATGTTTGGTGCTGTGAAGGACTCCTGGGGACTGTGACCTTCAGGGTAGCCTTTACAGGCTGGCCTGTGGCTATCAACTTAGCTCTTTGGGACTAAGTCACCTGCTAGCATCTCCTCAAGTAAAAATGCACAATTTCTGACCAGCTCATTAACATGCCACCTTGGCCATGACATCCACCTGCTTACTCTAAGTTTTGCAGAAGAATTAGTCTAATGTGTAATTTCTTTGAGCTATGCAAGAATCTTTTCTCTGTTTCTTCAAAGCCTCTCCCACTTAAGATATAAGGAGACCTATTTGTCCTTCTCTTCCTCAACCTCCTCTTTGGGAACATTTCCCAAATTCAAGTCATTCTTTAAAACACTGATTTTTTTTTTTTTTTTTTTTTTTTTTT